TTGGAGGTATTGGAATTTGTGAAGTTCCTGGGAGAAAAACAAAGAAAGGACAGATAGGAAGATCAAATGAAAACAAAAGAGGGTGTGGGGACTGCTGCACAGTAGTGATTTGGTTTTTGGCCTGATTTCCAAATATGCTTATGGGTTTTTTGTTGTGCTCATTTAAAAGAATGTGGGAGAAAAGTTTTTGAGTCAGAGCAGCTCCTGAAAGGTGAAAATCATGCATGGAGGGTCTGCTTTTATTTTGGTTATTTCTGGTATAGGCAGAGAGAAGGTCTTTCAGAAAATTCAAGAATATGCAAAATGGGACCAGTACATGTTACAAGAACCATGTAAAAGACAGTGGTTGGAGGAAGCAGTCAACAACTGGAAACTAATTTCTTGACCTTATAGGAATTATAATTACCTCAATTAATTTATTTTTTTACTAATAATTTTTTTAAAACTTAATATATACAGAATGCTGTTCTAAATACTGTGGTAGACAAAAAAAAGAATAGTGTACAGTTTATAGCCCTATGAAACTTAAAATATTTTAAGTGATAATATCTGCACATAAAAACTTTACAGAGTAAAGTATTGTGGAGGAATAGAAATGTTCAAAGAGGTTTTGGATGGAAAGTACTTTTGTCTGGGACAATTAAGAAAGTCTTTTCAGGAGAGTCTATATTTGAACTAGACTTCCCTGAATGAAGAGAACTGTATGACCATAGGGGAAAATGTGTTACAGAATTAGAAAGTAACATCCAGAGTTATAGAATCACTGAACACAAACAAAAGAGTTATATTAGTCATTTATAAACTGTAAAGGGCCTTAAATGCTATAAAAAAACTCCAAACTCACTGCTGTCGAGTCAATCTGACTCATAGTGAACCCTCCTTGGGTTCCTGAGGTGGTATCTCTATGGCCAATCTTCCTTGCAAGGAGTGGCTGGTGGGTTTGAAATCCCAGCCTTCTGGTTAGCAGTCAAATGCCTTAGGCACTACGCCACCAGAGCACACTTAAATGCTATGACAAAATGGAATTCTATTTGTCAGGCAAAGGGGAAACTAATAAAGATTTGAGAGCATTGGAATATTATCTCTGAATATCATTATAGTCTGGCTGTAATTTGGTAGACAGAGTAGGGAGAGTTTAAAAGTGGATAGAGCAATGGGAGAGGGTGAAATAATAATACAGTGTTAATTATAATGGATGATTATTTCACAGCAATTATAATGGATAATTATTTCACAGCACTGCAGGTCATGGCTCATTAGAGTGTGAAATCAGTTTGGTTATGAGATCAGCATTTTAAAAAATGAAACAGAATAGACTAGAATTGAGGTGTAATAAATTGCCTGGTATGGCTTTTCTAGCCATAATCTTTGTAACTCCCAGTTTGCCATGAGCATCTGAGTAGCTGATTGTTAAAGTTATCCACCTGGGGTATTTCTGTTGAACTAGCACAAAGTAATTTTCTGGGAAGTTTGCTCTCTTAGGTGTATAGAATTCTGATTTTGGGATTGGTTAGTTTAGCCATGCTACCAGGCTAAAAAGGAGCCCTCCTAGAGGCAGAAGAAGTCTCTCACTACTGGCTGAGAGACATGCTGCTGAGAAAGAGACATGAGAGACATGTGCTTCTGAGAGAGAGACATGCTACTGAAAGAGGCAGAGAGACTGCTGCTGCTGAGTGAGATGGCCAGCTGCGAGAGACTGAGCGTGCTCCTGGACTTAAATTGTAACCTGTTGCTTCCCTAATAAATCTCATAATCTGTGAGTGGTGTCTGTGAGTTCTGAGTGACCACTACAATGAATTGTCAAGCCCAGCAGAGAGGTGGTGAGTGCCCTGGGAGGGACAATTGGTGTCAGGGTTGGTAAGAGGGCTGGAGGGTGGCGGCATGTCTGGCCTCATATGACCAGGCTGCTGATATGATTCTGTCCTCCTCTTGTGTGGTTAGAGGAGGTCAGAAGATGCCACTTCTTTGCTCTTTTAACAAGAACCAAGAAAAATAAAATAGGATAGATCAAATTCCATTGCACTTAGAAAAGGTATTATTTTATGAAACATCTGTTTCAAAGTTTAATACGTATGTATGGAGTTGTGATTTAAAATGTACTTCTTCCTGTTTTTTGTGTCAAGATAGAGAAACTCTGCCAGAGGATGTATTTACAAAACCTGTCTTCATGATGATACTTGATGGTACTCTGTAAGTATTCTCTGGTTTAGGCAGGAGTATTAGAGGAACCGTCTCAGCACATTGAATGAAGGACAATAAATCTGTATTTGAAATTGTCACTTACTGACTTACCATTGATTCTGCTATTTCTTTTAGGACCATGATAGTAAATATTCAGCTTAATCAGGAGACTATATGTTTTGAATGATCAATCTTTGAACTATTGTTTATATTTCTGAAAACGATCAGATGCTTTCACAGTATTGATTCTCAGTTGGGAGAAATTTTACCCCCAAGAGACACTTGGCAATGTCTGGAGATATTTTAGGTTATCATAATTTGAGAAGAAAGGATGTGCTCCAGGCATTTAGTAGGCAGAGGCAAGACATGCTGCTGAAAACATCTCACAACGCACAGGACAGCCCCCCTAACAAAGAATTATCCAGTCCAAGATGTGAATAGAGAAACCCTGCTTCAAATAACCCAAACCCATTATTTAAAAGAAACGTAATTCTTACAACAGTTGAAAAAGATTCATGATACTCGTAAACACAAACTCAGTGATGTGGTTTGTAGTATGCACTGATCAGCAACTTTATTATTAGTTTTAAAGTGATATTATATTAGTCATTACTTATATGTGGCCCAGAATGAAATATTGCACAAAACAGTTTACACATACAAAGTTTATAACCCTAAGATCATTTCCTGAAGCTTAACATTAAAAGTCAGAATTATATATTACCACCATGACAGAGAATATTTTATATGTCTATGTATATTTATAGGAGCTCTGGTGGTGTAGTGCCTAAGGCATTTGACTGCTAACCAGAAGGCTGGTGGTCCACCAGCCACTCCTTGGAAAAGGAGGTTGGACAATCTACCTCTGTAGTGATACCACCTCAGAAACCCAAAGAGGGGGTCACTATGAGTTGGATCCGACTCAACGGCAGTGTGTTGTATTGTTATATGTATGTTTATATATATGAATAAGCATTTTTGTCTTAAAGTAAGTTCAGAGACTTGGAAACCAGCTGCCTAATTGAATCTCATCATTTAAAATCTTGATCTGAAGAGTCTCATAATTATAAACAGATTCACTAGCACTCACTGAAATTTATATAGATCTGGTGATTCAGTAAATGTAGTGAAGACAAAGATCTTGAGTAAGATATTATATATAATGATAAAAGTATAAGGAAGAGGTCAGGTAGATTGGAAATTAGATCCTAGATCCACTGGGGTTACTAACTACCTAAGTAGCTTGATCAAGTCTTTTAAGTTTCTTGCTTCAGTTCTCTTATCCATAACATAAGTGTTTTGAACTGTATGATTTACTTATATAATCTTTTCTAAATCTTAAAATTTTGAGTCTAAATTACAGATCACCTGTTTAAATGAATTGTAAGTTTCTTTTAGATTATTTTAGGCTAATTTTCTTGCCTTCTCAATAGCACTGTTTGCGGGAAGCGTTCTGAAGTAGCTCCATTATGTCAATGATTATGTATTAATAAGCAGCTTTGTCTTGAACTAAGTTCAGAGACTTGGCAGCCAGCTGCCTAATTGAATCTCATAATTTAAAATCCAATGGTTTGGCTTGTATTTGAACTACAATGTGTAAAAGACACCCTGGCCTTCAAACCTCGACATTTATCCAGCATTGTCAAGTAGAGTAAAAGTATCCACAAAGCCTTCATTTAATTGTGTTATGGGTTGCATAAGCCTGGCTCTTCTAGTGTCTTGACTTTATTTAGGGGATATATTTGCTCTTGCAAACAGCCTTGCTCAATGCATTCTGTTTTAAAAAGAAACATTTTAAACTAGGGTTTCCTAACAGTAATAGGCCACTTATACAAGCATTAGGGAGTAATTTGCTGTTCGATACTAAGGATTAAAAGTGGTTGTTGTTGCTTTCTCTGTGGAGAAAAACAATGCTTTTGTTCTCTTAGTGTTTTGTAAATTGTCAGATTTTTCTAGATATTTAGTCTTACAATAAAAATGTATAAAATCTCTCTCTAGTGGTCTAAACGTATAAATGCATCTATAAAATGCCATTCTTGTGTCCTTGTTAGGGACTGCTCATGAGACTACAATCACCTTCCCAAAATATATTTTTCTAAAAGAAAAAATAATCAGAATAAATTCATTTTTGATTAATCCATCATGCTTTCTTTGGGTATATTGTGGGGTAAGGATATGTGTGTGTGTTTGATGAAATTACCAAAAAAATGAGGTGGTATCATAATTGAAAAAATTTTAAAATCTCTGGCTTGATTTACCACTGGATGTTTTCCTAGATGTAACTTTCTTTTGTGTATGTCCCATAAGTAAGTTTAGAAGTAGCAAATTTATTTCTTATACTGGAAAAATCTCTTTGGACCACCTGGAAGAATAAGGGAAAAATGTATTTGAGAGTTCTGGAGAAATGACAAGAAATTATATAAGGAATTCATGAACTCTTTGCAAAAATAATTTTTTTAAAAAACTTTCAGTTAAAAGGGGACACCTCTGACAAAGACACTCAAAATCTCACTGATTATCCTCACATAATTTGTTTGATTTCTCATTTATACTCCAACTTGCATATGATGAGTGGTGTATCTACTGTTGTTTTCTAGTCAGACTAAATGATCTCATTGTTTTATAAATAAAAACCACTTATACATTGACTATGGGTTATTGATTGATTAAAGGGCTTTTCAAACAAATCGTGTCATATGTTTTGTGTTGCTAGGTCCGTTCATTTAATCTTAATTTATTGTACTATATCTACCAATTATTTGAATTCTTATACATGTATGACCTGCATATAGCTCTCTTTGTTTAATGTTTATGGTGAACTAGAGACCTGTTTTTGAAGCAATCCACTTTCGATAGTAAGTCACTTTTGTGTAGACTCCAGGTTTATTCTTTTGTCCACAGTTATCTCCCCAGCTCACAATTCCAATGAGATACCAGGTATCTTTAAGATCCTTTGCAACTAAAGGTCCTCCAGAATCACCCTAATAATTAAAAAATAAAGAAAATTAGATAAGCATAAAGCTTATTATTGAAAGTATTTTGATTAACCACATATTTTATTAGTAGATAGTAGATGCACACATAACCAATCATAGAGTAATTAATTTAAACATAGATTTCTAAAGTTACAAAGAGTTTTATCCTCCTCCTAAGTTCCCTTCACCACATCTTTACATGTATAGTATCTTAATGTTTGTTCATTATCAGTGTTTATATTAATATCACTTTGTAAATGTTGGCCACTGATGAGTCAAGTAACATATTTTGATTCTATTACCTCTTATGGGAAAATTTTGATTTTGTAGAATTAATAATGGAGTTCCCCCCCCCCATTTGGCTAGTTTTCTGTGGGCCTGTGGCAAATGTTGAATGCTCCAAAAGATCTACCAATTTTTCTGGGAAGGAAGATTGGGCAATCTACTTCCATAGAGATATCACCTCAGAAACCCAAGGAGGGGTCGCTAAGAGTCAGAAACAACTCGATGGCAGTTCTTCTTCATCATCATCATCATCATCATCATCATCATCATCAAGAATATCAGACAATTAACTTGTTGGTTCCAGTACCCATCTGAAGACCTTTCCATCCTCACCTTCCTAACTCCTTTTTGTCCACCCTAGCACACATGGGAACATGTGCTGGCAAATGTACACACACTCAGTCACACATATACACACCTCTCTCTTTTATTCTGCTCTAACTTGGATTGGTTATTTTCTAAGCTTGGTACAGAGGTATACATCTGAGAGTTTCTTAACCATTCTTTTGTGTTAAATCCATAATATTTTTGATCTTATGCCTTCCTCTTTCTTAATACCTCCTTTTGCTGAGGTACCCCTCTCAGGTGGTTTCCTGAGAAAGAGGGTATGGGAGATACAGTTGGTTCCCCCCCCCCCTCAAAATGCCTCTCTTCTACCCTCACACTTAATAATTAGTTTACATGGGCAGAAATTTATGTTGAAATCATTTTTCCTTTGAATTTTGGAAGCATTTTCCAATGTCTTCTAGCTTCTAGCATTACTGTTTGGAAGTTCTATGCTTCTTCCTTTGAAGCTTCCTGGTTGTCCTCCTTAACCCTAGTGTTCTGACATTTCATAGTGGTATGCCTTGGAGAGGACTCATTTGTGCACAGCACTTGTTGGGCCCTTCAATAGGAGATATATGTGCCTCAGAACTAAGAATATTCTTTTATTCTTTAATGATTTACTCCTATGACTTCTGTTAGGTGTGCCTTACCAAAGCCATGGTATTTACAATCACCTCTTATATATGTGAGAGGTGGACAATGAATAAGGAAGACTGAAGAAGAGTTGATGCTTTTGAGTTGTGGTGTTGGTGAAGAATGCTCAGAGTACCATGGACTGTTAAAAGGCTAACAGATCTGTCCTGAAAGAAGTGCAGCCAGAATGCTCCTTGGAAGCAAGAATGGCCAGACTTTGTGTTACCTACTTTGGTCAGGTTGTCAGAAGGGACCATTCCCTGGAAAAGGTAAAGTGAAGGGTCAACAAAAAAGGGGAAGGCCCTCAATGAGATGGATTGCCACAGTGGCTGCCACCATGGGTTCAGGTACAGCAAGGATCATGAAACTGGCACAGAATCAGGCAGTGTTTCATTCTGCTGTGTGTAGGGTCGCCAAGAGTTGGGGACAACTCGATGGCACCTAACAACAACAACATCAACTTCTGTTTTCAGACTCCTATTCATCTGATGTTGTATGTCCTGAGTTTATTCTCTAATTTTCTTAACTTTTCTTGTTATTTTTCTTCTTTGTCCTTTTCTTCTTTCTGAGAGATTTCCTTGATTTTATCTTCCAATTCATCTATTCGATTTAAATAATCATTATCTTCTCTGTACATTCCCCAATATGACTCTTGTTCTTTGATTCTAGAGTAAAGTAGTGGAGACCACATTGGAAACTCAGTGCATGTTTGTTGGGTAGGTCTCTGGTTAATTCTTTTTTGGCCAATCTGCTTAATTCTGGTTAGGAATTTCCAAATATTAATACATGATGATTCTTTTTTCTGAGATATAAGTTTAGAGAGAAGAATCTTTCAGCCTCTTGTATTGGGAAGAAATTGGAGGAGAGGTACATAGCTGGGTGTAGCATTTTGGTACACAAAATGGGAAGGGGCTGAGGGCCTCTTTTTTGTAGATACAGGGCCTCTAATTTGTAGATACAGAATATACATTTGTAGAAATGCCAAACTCTTTTTCCCAAGGTGGTTTTCCCAATTTTGTCTTTCTTTTTGGTGATTTTAGAAGGGTTTGAAGAAGAAACAGAGATAAACCTGAATGTCAAGTTTTCCATGCTTAATCAGATGTTCCAATCTACACAGTTTATAGATGAAGAAAGAAGAAATCTAGAAAATCAAATGTATTTAAAAATCCTATCCAAGGAACTTGTAGGATGAAGAAGGCAAGAAGTTTGACCCCTTGTCTAAAGCCCAAATGAGAACACATTACAATTCACCTGATAGTTATACACGGCCAAACATAATTTAATCTGTCTTTATCCATTCAGAGCAAGACTTTGCTCTGCTTTGGGGCTTTAATCATGAATAGCCATGCTTACTGCACTGTATAGGAATATGGCTTAGTATTGTCATGGACCTAGTCCAAGCTCTGGAAATCATTTTTTCCTTTAAGAATTCTCCAATAGTAGCATGGTTTGTTGATAGTCATCTGTTTAGCAAGAAAGAAAGGTCAGCTTTTCCCTCCCTCTGGAAGGCTGTTTAATACAGTTTTCCATTAGATGTGATGCTGATTAGATCAGTTTTTAAAAATCCAGGATATGATCTTGTCTTCATTTCCTTCAGTTAGAAAATGAAAGTTTTAAAAAATCTCAAAATGAAAACTAAATGTATAACAGAATGTATTCCATCTATAAGCAACAGTCTGTGCAATTTGAGAGGAGTGGGGAACAGAGAGTTAAAATTATTCAGGATCTCATGCAGAGCATTAAAATGATATTGAGTTATCTATAGTTCAGAAAATATGGTTACATTATCGTAAGCATTTTGGGATTTTATAACTGACGTGGAGATTTATATGCTTTTCTCGAACTTCAGTACAAGTAGAAATCAGTTGGAGGGCTTTTTAAATGCAGATCATTGAGTCTTCGTTTCTAAAGATTCTGTATGTTCTGGGGAGGAACCCAGCATCTGCAATTTTAACAAGTATCCAGTTGATTTTGTTGCAGGTCATCTGCAGCACACTTTTAAATCACAAGGTTAGATGGATTATCAAATAACTTTATTCTGCTTCCTTCTTTCTCTCTTTCTTTTCCACTCATTCTCATTTCTTCTTAAGCAATCACTCACTCAAGAAGCATTCTATAAGCAAGGGGCTATGGCAGAAGGTACAATGATAAATAGTGCAGAGCCTGTGTCTCCAAGGTCCTTTTTATCTATATGAAGAAGCAGGGCACAGATTCACAGCTAACCGTTTACCTAATAACACAAACTGTATGTGCTTCAGTGCCGAATTAATGTCCCCCCAACAACACCAAAGGTCAGAGACACAGAAGTTGGCCTGAAACTTGAGTGATAAATAGATCACATGGCATTCTAGGTAGGAGTATAGTGGGCAGATGTCCAGCAACATCTCCATGTGAGTGTTTCCAAAGCACTTGAAATTCAACGTGGCTGACACCAGACTCATGATCTTTCCCCTACATTCACACCTTTTCTACTCTTACCTAACTCATTGATTAGTACCACACTCTATCCAATTCTCAAGCTGGAAACTTAGATATTATACTTTGTCCTTCTTCTTCTCTTCACTCATTTAGAATACATCACTTCATTTTGTAAATGTTCCTTCTTAAGTATTCTATTCATCTCTAACTTCAAGTTACCTTCTTAGTCAAATGACCAGTAATTTTACCTGGATTTCTGCAGTAAATACTAATGATCCACAATGGTCCTTCTCCAAAACAGTTTCCTTACGGTGGCCAGAATGATCTTTGCAATATTCAAATTTGATCACACCAGCCCTTTAATATAACTAAAGGAGCCTGAGTGTGCTAGGGATTGATGATCAGCTGCTTACCTAAATAAAGGCTGGTAGTTTGAACCCACTCAGTAGCTTTACAAAAGAAACAATCTGGTGAGCTGCTTCTATAAAGATTACAAGGAAACCCTATGGAGCAGTTCTACTTTGTCAGACGTGGGATTGCCTTGAATGGAGAGCCTACTTGATGACAGCTAATTACAACAATTGAAATAATTTAATTAAAATCATTTAATACTACTTACTATAAGCATTTGACTGCTAACCAGAAGGTTGGCCTTTCAAACCCAGCATCCCCTCTGCAGAAGGAAGATTGGGCAATCTATTTCCATAAAGATTGACTGCCTCAGAAACCCAAAGGGGGTTGCTGTGAGTCAAAATCGACTTGATTACAGTGATTTTTTTTTTTTTTTTTAACTATAAGCCAGGCAGTGTTTTGAGAGCTTTACACATATTACCTAATTTAATATCATCTTATTTAATATAAACATTTTGATTAAAACTTTTTGGTCACTTTTAATTGCTCTTGGGTATAAAGGGCAAAATAATTAGGCCACAGTCTGGCCTTTCACCAACTCCCCTACCTGTGCCATTGGACCTCTAGCATTCTGTATTCCACCACATAGTCTTTAATATCCTAGAATTCTTCCTGATTCCTTCATCATAGGGCCTTCACATTTGATATTTCTTTCTGGGCAACATCCATGCCCCATCTTTCTGGTTAACTCTTAACACCTGTTTCATGTTCTTGTTCATCTCAGCCACCACTACCACTTGCCTACAAGTTTGTCCTTGCTAGTTATGTTCAGTTCTCATATAAACTCATAGAACCATGACCTTTTCATTCCATGCACTCTTTTTCTGTTTTTTTCCCTCATTGTTATAAATATTTCATTAATGCATGTCTTGTCTACTAGACAGTAATTTCCATGAAAGCCTATTTTTGTTCATGATAGTATCTACTACTTGTCAGAGTGTGTGGCATAAAGTAAGGCACTTAGCATCTTTTGAGTAAACAAATAGTCTTAAAACAAGCATAATATGACTAGGGACAAGTTTGAACTAATTTTACTATACTTTATGTTTAAATTAATTATGAGCACTCAAGAAAAATATTGCCAAAAGACCCATCTACTGTTTCTTGAAATGATTTCAATTAGTGTGGAGGCTGCCTGTGGGTATCTTTCTTTCCTCAAAGTCCTGACTGAACTAGAAACAGTAGGGGAATTACAAGTTAGGATTAAGCTGTCAAAGCCTTTCATTTCTTGGTTTTATATCAGCAATTCTGACCCTTTGTTACATGTATTTGGGTCTAACCTTACCAGATCTATGGTTGAAAAAAATAAGTGCTGTCTCCTCTTTCTTTCCAAAGCTGACTCTGGGACTTATTGTGTATATAGGAGATTTATTGGGTTCTAGACTACAACTCGGTAAATTTACAAAAGTTAAGCTGATGTTGGTATTCTTCTGATCCCAGGTGGATTGCTTGGATGTCTGTTCTTATCATGTACCCCAGTTACAATCATTGCATTCCTGTCTTGATTCCTTGTGCCTGAGTCATTTCTTTGATAACTTCTATTTTTCCATGGCTTGAGCTTTATCTCATCACTCACTTGCATGGTCATGGGACAGGAATCTTACTTCTGCTCCTCAGTCCATGGTAAAGCCTCTCTATGACTGTCATTACTTCACAAGGCTCATCTAATCCCTCTGTTGCCACCATCCACTTGTCTGCTTTGGCATTGACCTCTTGCTACAGTCCCTGAATTTTAGCTACTTCCTTACATATTCTTAACAACTAAACCTAGATGTATACCAGATCCTCCTGCTCTTATGCACCCTATTGTGTTACAAAATTCTGTGTTCCTTTTCTAATAGTGGCTGCCTATGGTGTATAATCTGTGGGACTCTGGGCAGGGCTTTCTGTCACTTGGTATCAATACAATTTCCATCACTTCACTATAAGAGAACTTTCTTAAAGTTTTCAAAAATCTCAAGTTAAAAAGCAATACTTCCAGGAAGGAGCACACTTTATACTTTTGTCAGGAAATACAGATGGGGACACTGGGAAGGACACTAAGCTATTCACAACAAGGCCTGACCTACCTTGTCAGCATTAACCAGTCCCCTTGTCTCCTGCGTGCCTTGTGCTTGAGATACAACAAAGAGATTACTTGAAATTCCCTCCAATATGACTTGTAACTTCATAATTTTGGCTATTTCCCTTCTCTTTCCTAGAATATTCTTTTATGATTCTATAACAAGATAAATGCTTTTATCCTCTAAGGCATCATTTAAATATCATTTCTTTAATAGTTGTTCTAAATTTGTTTCCTTCAAGGAAGAAATAATGTCTCTCCATTATATGATTTAAAACATTTCATCATAGTTCATTATATATGATTGCTTCCTTGCTAGAATATACCCTTGAGGTAAGAGACTTGCCTAATTAAACTTTGGATTTCTTGTTATTAAGATATTCTAGTTTTGTTGATTAGTTTGTTTGATAGTATCAAAGGCACCCTTTGCTTATTTAATTTTACTTAACAAAACATAAAAAATATGTTTGTGTTTTGAAATTTACAGTTAAAAATTTTTTGAGTTCACATATCTGTAGTTTGTACTAATATAAAGAACATAGAATATTTCCTGAACTAGATAATTTTTTTTTAATTAATAACATCAGATAATTTCTTCCAAACCTACCCTGCAGGCATCATAAATTCCTTCCAAGTATCCAGCACAAAACATTCCAAATTTTATATCAATGCCATACACATGTGGTTGCTTGCACACGTCATCACTTATGATTTTCAGTCTGGCTTCTCGAAGATCATTTTGGGACTCCCCTTAAGGAAAATCAAAGTAATTTTAGTATTTACAATCAGAAATTTATCTTTTTCATATTAAAATTATCAATACAGAATGAGGTTAATATAAGAAGTCTCTAGAGAAGAATACTCTTGTTAAATCTGGTACATGTAAATAATAATTATTGTCATTATCACATTTTATAAACACTTCTGCCAGCAAAAACATAGTGTGAGCATTTTCCTGGGAAACCTTTGTACCTTTACTTTAAAACAGTTGATGTATTTTATTTAGAAAGGCTTTTTTTTCCCCCTAAGTTTGCATTTGTGGATTCTGTATTATTTCCAGAAATTTTATGTATCTGTATCATTTTTTTCCTTAGCTTGAAAAATAACTATAATTGTATGTGAATTTATTTTATCCCCCACAATTTATGAAGTTTCAACATACATAATGCCATTTAAAGGTAATGACTGTACTCATTTATTATACATTTGATACTCCAGATCATACCTCTTGTAAGTTAGATTCTCAGTCTAGAAACCAATAATAGGGTAGATAGATCATTGCCTAGGGTAGAAAACTCAAAATAGTACAAGAATTGATTCTTTGTCCCAAACTATAATATTAAAACATCTGGGAAATTGTGACAGTAGGTAGACAGAATTCTAAGAATAATCTTCAAATTTCTGATGTCAATCTCTTCTTCCAAGTATGCACAGGATGTATAAATATGATGAATGTCACCCCCATGATTAGGTTTTGTTATATGGCAAATGTGAGGCAATTTTGCACATGTAATTAAAGTCTTTGTTGTTGTTATGTGCCATTGAGTCAGCTCCGACTCATGACGACCCCTCCTTGGGTTTCCGAGGCGATATCACTACAGAAGTAGATTGCCCAACCTTCCTTCTGAGGAGTGGCTGGTGGGTTTGAACGACCAGCCTTCTGGTTAGCAGTCAAGTGCCTCAGGCACTATGCTACCAGAGCTCCTATTAAAGTCCCTACTCAATTTTAATTTTAAAAAGGGCTTAGGTCATCTTTGAATTCAGAGACATACTTCTATTAGCATTGAAGAAGCAAACCTTCACGCATTCTACAGTTGCAAGAAACTTAGGGCAATAACCAGGGAGCTTGGAAGAGGAGTCCAAATCTCAGAAGAAATCATAACCCCAGCCAGCATCTTCATTACAGCTTTGTGAGACCCTGAAAACAGGCCTAGCTAAGTCATGTCCAGACTACTGACCCACAGCAGATAATGAACAAGCGCTGTTTGAAGGTGCTAAATTTGTTACACAGAAATAGAATAGTAATAGAGATACTAATTTCCTTGGAATAGCAGTTCAGGATTTATTTCTGGAGAGGTGTTCGCTAACACTTTTTTAAAGTGCTCAGAAAATATGTGTGAAACTCAGAAATACTCTAAAGAATTTTTCAAGTCATCCAATTCTTTGAATTATGTGTATGTTTTTGCCTACCTACATTTATCAATTGAAAAACAGTTTATGCCCAGTGCTAGGAAGGATAAGGTGAAACCAACAATCTATGTATTGTAGGTAACAGTGTAACTTCATCATAACTCTTTCAGAAAACAGGCTGGTAAAAATTATTTCAACTTTTAACAAGTATAGCCCATAAGTTCTGGACATCTCAACTACTGTGGGAGTGCTTAATGACATTTCTCACCAACTATTGTTTTTTTCAAAGAATGAGCTTTATCCATGGATCCACGTATTATGTACATGTTTTGGATTATTAATTTTTCTTTTTTTCTTGTTTCCATGTTCATTCACTTACACTATTATCTTTATTATTTCTTTCCTTCTGCTTGCTTTGAACTTGTTTTTATCTTCTTTTATAATTTATTACAATAGGAACTTAGATTATCGATTTGAAAATTCTTTTCCAATGTGTGCATTTAGTGTCATGTATTTTCTTTCTCTTCTGCCTTAGCTCCATCTCAGTATATAGATTTCTTAATTTTAATTTACTTTTATATATTTAAAGTTTTTTTCTTTAAGACTTCTTTGATTTAGGATTTAGGAGTGTGTTGTTTAATTTCTAAGCATTTTGAGATTTCCTGGTGTCTTTCTGTTACTGATTTCTAATTTGATTCCATGTGATCAGAGAACATATTCTATGCTATATCAATTATTTTAAATTTGCTGAGGTTTGTTTTCATAGACCTGGGTGCAGTCTAGTCTCTTGTGTGGAGTATTCTATAAATGACAGTTAGATTTTTGCTTCTCATAAAGTATTATGGTAGTATGCATATTTCTGTGCTAAGCTAAAACTCCTGGTAGAAAATTATTCCTCCCACCAAGCCGAAGAGGATTTGGGATGCTCCTTCTATCATCATGTAATTAAAGTCATTACATTACTCTTAAAACTCTGTTTTAAGAGACATTTTAGCAACAGTGCAGACATCATGGTGTCAGACTCGCAGCTTTATTCAGCAACCCCTGTGATTATATGCTATGGATTATATTTTATGTGATTGGTCATAAAGAAAGTAATATGTATCTCAGCTTCAATAATATGCAATAAGATCACATGGGACATGCAGAGAAAATTCAGAGACCACAAACTTCTCTCCAGCTACACTGGTGAAAGGTTATACCTAGTTTCATAGTAGAGACTAAGAGTTAAAAGTTTATTCTTAATGGATTGTCATATATAGATAAATGGTATAGAGTTCTGAAAATGGATTTTGCCTTTCTGCAAAAGATCTTTTGCATCTTCTGAAGCCCAGCATTTAAGAAAACCTCAAGCTATTATTATACATATGTACCAGGACCAGATGATAGGATCCAGAGTATGTCCCCAGAAGCAATCAAAAACAAAATCATTTTTATTTATAGACTAAGATAGTATATAAAGTAAAATCTATTTAGAGAGGGCCATATAAGCTTTAGAGGAGCCCTGGTGGTCTAGTGGGTAAACTTGCCTTAACCAAAAGGTCAGCAGTTTGAACACACTAGCTATTCCATGGACAAAGATATGGTAGTGTACTTCTTTATGGATTTATAGCCTTGGAAATCCTACAGGGCAGTACTAGTCTATTCATACAATGTCACTGTGAATTGAAATTGATTCCATGTAAATGGGTTGGTATGTAAGTTTTAAAAGAGAACTTCTGGCACAGTGGTTAAGCACTCAACTGCTAACTGAAAGATTGGTCATTGGAATCCACCAGCCACTCTATGGGAGTAAAATTTGGCAGTCTGTTTCTGTAAAGATGATAGCTTTTGAAACCCTATGGGGCAGTTATAGTCTGTCCTATAGGGTTGCTATGAGTTGAAATCAATTCATGGCAATGGGTTTGCGTTCTTTTGATGTAAGCTCTGTAATCAGAGGCAATTTACCTCTACACAGTATTGTTCCTGATCACGCTTAAATTGGCATCCTTATTTCTAAGGCAGATTTGGCTGCAACAGGAATTTGTAGCTGAGCAGAAGAAAAATTTGCAAGGTGATTTAGGAAAGTGAGTATGTGTTCTTGATCAGTGCTAAGGGAGGAGGAGATGAAAAGGATAGTTAGAGAGATGAGTTCATGTGGAGAAGGGAGAAAATGAGGAAGATTCTTGGGGTGAAGGTGAACGTGTGGATTATAACATACCCAATGCATAGTTGGCATTACATAGAAAGTATCACATAGAACTTGATTTCAATGCTGAGGGAGCATTTGCTTCTTTTATCTGGAAGCCTACTCCTTTGGAATTGTTTCTTTCTCATTCTGTGCAATTCTGGCCAGGCTGTCAATCACATGTCTGTTTTCCCTGGCATATGTGTAGGAACAAGTATTTGAGTTGGCTCATCAATCCAAGTACCTTTAGACACAAACTGGGCCAAATCAGTATCATTATCAGGAGGTAATGCAGACTCTGGCAGAGAAAGGAACAAGTTCTTCATCTGTTTATTGGGGATGATGTACAGCCAGAGCTGCCACTGACTATTTTTGCCGCAATGTGACACTAGACAACATACGGTAAGGGAAGAACCAAGAAATGTATTCAGAGTCTGATGACATCATGTGAACTATTGTATCTGGCTGTGAAGCTGCACATCTTTTGATATAAAAGTTACAGGTCCAAATTTGTCTGTGTGTCTTTGTTTCTTAAATTTCCATCTATGTAGTGTTTTTTTTTTTTTTTAGTTGCATATATGTCACTTGCAAAACAAGAAGAAAACAAAAACCAAACTCACTGCTGTCAAGTTGGATCTGACTCATAGTGACTCCTCCTTGGGTTTCCAAGGCAGTATCACTACAGAAGTAGATTGCCCAATCTCCCTTCCAAGGAGTGGCTGGTGGGTTTGAATCGCCAGCCTTCTGGTTAGCAAAACAAGAGCCCCTATTAATCCAACCAAGCTGTGTGGATATGGCTGACAGGATAATATTGATGCAGATTAAACCACCAGGCCCTAAGTAGGGTTTAGTACTCTGTAATGTCTTCTGAGATACCCACCACCATAGAAAAGTGCTCCAAATCCTGTGATGTAGACAGTCAAATTTGGTCGAAAGGATGCAGAGGCTTCTGGCAAACAAATCCGGCGTATGTCATCAGTAAAGGTGACTTTGGGAGAGAACTGTACAACAGCAATGTCATATTCTCTTGCTGGAGAGTGATATTTCTCATGTACAATAATTCTTTTGACATTTCTTTTCATTAAGGGAGGGTTGATTGTTGTTCCAAAGCTAACAGTCCATTGATGTGGATTTGCATTACTAGAAAGGGTTAGAAATTAACAGACTTTATGAACTGCACTAAGAAAAAAGATAATATCATCTTTGAAGTATTTTGCTACAGTTATAATTTTATTTGACCTTCTAAATATAGTGTATTGCTACTGTTTTGAAAGATAAAGTATTTACATACAACAGACACCACAAGGCAAAATAGATGAGTGGGACCTCCTAACAATCAGACACTTACGTGCATCAAAAGATTTCACAAAAAGAGTGAAAAGAGAAGTCACAGGCTGGGAAGAAAATTTTGGCAATGATGTATC